CTCTGCTGTGCTGACACAGCTTCTCTCTAGCAAGCTGAGTGCTCTGCGGTGGGGCTCTGGCGCAGAGGGAGCTGGATGCTTTGCCCCGGGCCCGGCGGTGCTTTTGTACCCGCGTGCCAGGCGGTTGGAGGCTGGCGTTGGCGCGGTCAGGATGAGGAGAGCAGCCTGTCTGTTCGGGTGACGCGGCATCAGTTACCGCTGTGAACCCCCCCGGCGATGGGGGAACCGGAGCGGGTCTGGCTGCGTGGGCAGGGACCGTGCCCTGCCGTTGGCTCTGGATAACCGAGTTAGGTGGCGTGCCTCTCTGCAGCATGCTCCCCGGCCCTCCGTCCTCGCCCATGGGGGACGTCATGCAGACCCCCCAGTTCCAGCTGCGACGGCTGAAGAAGCAGCTGGCTGTTGAGAGAGAGAACCGGGACGAGCTGGAGGTGGAGCTGGCAGAGAATCGCAAACTCATCACGGAGAAGGGTCAGTCGCTAGTGGGACGGCGTGGGGCGTGGGGGGGGCTCTCTGGGCCTGAGACTTCACCAGGATTCTGTGACTTTCCGTCGTGGTTTTGACTCCGCCACGTGCGGTCCGTCCTGCCGGGCCCCAAGTGAGGAACGCAGCTCGTGGCTTTGGGGCTTTTCAGCTTTCCAGAGAGGAGAGGGCAGCTCGGGGTTTGCTGTGCCTTGCTCCATGGCAGGCCATGGGGACCCCTGCCTGTGAATCTGGAACAAAGCGTGATGCAGAAAGCCTTGCTGATGGGAGCCCAGACCGCTCCAACGCTGTTGTAACAACCCTCGGCATCTCTCGGAGGTGGCCGTTTGTCCCCCTGCCAGATGATTTGGAGCAGGCTGGCAGGCGTAGGAGTCTCGCCATCCGCATCTGAAATGTTCTCCGCCCTGGGGATTTCCCCAGGTGCACGCAGAGCCTGCAGGTTCCTTCTTCCCTCTCCCGTTCCATTATATATCCTGGGCAACAAAAGCCACGACTGAAGCGGCGCCTGTGCCTGGCAGCAGTGCTGGCAGCCCGGCTCTTCTGTGTCCTGCTGCAAAGGGTTTCTGCGTGGTGGCTGCTCACCAGCTTGGGGGAAGGACAGACATCCTCCACCGTGCTGTTTGGGGGGTCTGGGTGACATAAAAAGACGGTAACGGGCCCTTTCTCACTGCCCTCCCCAGAGGCTCAGATCACCATGATGCAGCAGCGGATCGACCGCTTGGCTCTGCTCAACGAGAAGCAAGCCGCAGACCAGCTGGAGCCCAAGGAAATGGAGGAGCTCAGGGAGAAGAACGAGAGGTAATCCTCCTGGGATGTCCCCTCCCTCCTCCTAGGCCGGTCCTTGTCACTCCCACATCCCCAGACTCCGTGTTGTCTGTCTCTTCCCCAGCAATGCACAAAACAGGCGAGGGCAAAACTTCCTCTTGTCCTCTTCTGCCTCCTCTGCAGCTGCAGCCTCTGGAGGAGATGGCTTCAGAGGTCATAGAATCAGGGAAGGGTTTGGGTTGGAAGGACTCACAGCCCATCCAGCTCCACCCCCCTTCAACACTGCCAGGGAGCCAGGGGCAGCCACAGCTTCTCGGGGCACCCTGTGCCAGGGCCTCAGCACCCTCACAGGGAAGGATTTCTGCCTCCCATCTCATCTCCATCTCCCCTCCTGCAGCTTCAGGCCATTCCCCTTGGCCTGTCCCTCCCTGCCCTTGGCACCAGCCCCTCTCCAGCTTTCCTGGAGCCCCTGCAGGGACTGGAAGGGGCTCTAAGGTCTCCCCGCAGCCTTCTCTTCTCCAGGCTGAACCAGCCCAACTCTCTCAGCCTGTCTCCAGAGCAGAGGTGCTCCAGCCCTCCCATCATCTCCGTGGCCTCCTCTGGACTCGCTCCAACAGCTCCATGTCCTTCTTGTGCTGGGGACCCCCGAGCTGGATGCAGCACTGCAGGGGGGTCTCAGCAGAGCGGAGCAGAGGGGCAGAATCCCCTCCCTCGACCTGCTGGTCACGCTGCTGGACACGCAGCCCAGGACACGGTTGTGCCAGCCAGCACGCTGCTCCTCGTGGTCGGGGTGATTAGGGCCCGTAGCCCATTTTTACTGCAGCAGACAGGGAGCTGGTCCTCACCCCCGCAGTGTGTTCTGAACACCCGATCCTTACTCGAATCCCAGCACGACTGTCCCTGTTGGGGGAAAAGGTGGTGCTGCAGGTCAGTCTGCGCTGCGTTCCCCGCGCTGGGACAGGCTCTGTGTCGCAGAAAGCTTTCAGGGTGATACCGGAGCTCCTCACCCCGGCCCCTTCCCCAGCTGCCAGCCCTCCAGTTCGATCCAATTTGATCGGATCCGAACTGGGCTGTGTCGCGCACTTGAATTCTGTCGCCTGCCACGCTGCGTCCCCATCTTCGCCCTGTCCCTGTGCGGCGAGGTGTTTACTTGGGCAGGACGCCCAGCCTCACTGGCAGGTGCCGTGCCTTTTTTTGTCCTTTCCTCACTTATTTCACTTTGCAGAGGGGTGGCTGGAGTCCTGCAGCTGCCTCTGCCCTCAGTTCAGAGCGGTCGGGCTCGTGCAAAGCACAAATGTCGCTTACCTGCTCTGCTTTGTGACGTATTGGGACCCAGTTTAGAGCTGCATTTACAGTAGTTTCTCACCACGGCACAGAGATGGCTTGGTACCTCAGTGTCTTCAGCAGCATCGGTCCCCAGTGACATCCTCACCTGCCTTGGGCTTGCACGCCCCGCTTTAACGACCTCCTCTCCCGCAGCCTGATGGTGCGCTTGCACGAGGCCCTCAAGCAGTGCCAGGACCTGAAGACTGAGAAAGGTCAGATGGACCGAAAAATCAATCAGCTCTCTGAAGAGAACGGGGATCTTTCCTTCAAGGTATGGGCCACGTGTCCTCTCTGTGTCCCCACAGCCCAGTCCTTCGTGTGGGACCCAGGGGGGAGGATTTGATGGCGGTGCCGGACGCTGGGCTGCTTACGGCTCTGCCACGGGTATCGTGCGGCCTTGACCCAGTGACCGAGCCTGCTTTGGGCTCCGGATCCCGATCCAAAGGGGAACCGCGCAGGGCGTGAGCACCCGGGACCTGGGATGTCCGTGGGTGCTGTGGTGCTCGGGAGGGGGGAGCTAAGTAGGTGGGGCCGGCTCGGGCCCCCCCGGGGGGCGGGGGGGGGGTTTCCCTTCGCGGTTGCGGGAGATCGCCAGCCACTTGGTCCAGCTGCAGGAAGCCCTGAACGAGCTCTCGGAGGAGCACAACGCGGCCCTGGCGCAGTCGCAGGAAAAGCAGGGGCAGCTGGAGAGCGAGCTGCGTGCTGCCCTGCAGGAGAAGGTGAGGGGGGCCGGGGTCCCGCTCTGCTGCACCCGCAGCCC